TGGCCGGGCCGTGGTAGCTCAGTCTCCGGGACTGCCGCTAACCACGGCTCACGCGAAGGGAGGGAAGCGCTAGGCGCGGGTGGTATCGCCTTACCCGCGCGGCCACCAAGCTGACCATGCTCCGTGCGGTCTTCTACGCCAGCTGCGCTGATCTGGGCGTTCTTATGCGTCTGGTGGCTATCGGTTGCCGGTGCGGCGGCGGGCAGCCGATCGCGCCACTGGAGGACCGACGACTGGCGGCTGCTAGTCGGAGGCGGTGTTGGGGCGTCATCATCGCTCGCTGACAGCTTCTTTGGAGGCGGGGCGATTTTCTTCCTGATCTCCGCGCTGTGCCATCTCCAAGCGACCGTTCTCCTGTACATCGTCAGTTCCTGTCAGCGCGGCCCCATCGACCGGCAGCCCTGGTCGGATTGGCGGTCGGGCTGCTGGACGGGGCGATCCCCGCTATTGTTCGCCGGGTGCGGTTCGTCGTCGGGCTCGCAATTTGGGCTGGTATTGGGGCATTGCAACGTGGCGGCCGGTGGCGCCGGTCTGGATGACGCCCTTCGGTCAACGACGTGGAGGCTGTGGGGCATCGTCCCCTGTCTGCGATGTCGTTCTGGAGTGGCGACCATGGCCACTGGCGTCTGACAGTCGATCCCTAGCGCGCTGGCCGTCATCGCCTTCGTTTCGTCCGCCGCAAGTGGGGCGCGCCGCCGCCTGCGACCGCCGCCGAACTGGACCTGGACAGGAGTGTCACGCATCCCGCGGAAGAGAAAATCATCCTGACATAGGGCGGAGCTGAAAAACGCCGCGCCGCCCTCAACCGCAACACCTCACGCCGTACGCAGTTGGCGGCGAACGTCGGAACAATGGCTGTTCAAGATTTGAGATCATCAGGCGTGCAATCGCATTCAAAATATACACACCGTCACTCCGCTGAAAGCCGGAGCCATTGATCGTAAAGAGCATCATCGTCAGCGCGGCTCGTTATTCGACCGCTGGATTCCGCCTTCATGGGAGTGGCAGGAGGCAACGTTTCTCTATCCAAAAACTGCGATTGCGTGGATTATCAGGATTGCAACTCGTCAGGATGGAGATCCCAATCCCGCCAAATCATAAAATCGGGCCAAATCCAGCTTGACGACTTGCGGAAGTGGGTGCGCAAAACCGCGACGCGCACCGGAGCCGTGCGCGGCGGTGCTACAATGTTGCGGCTACTGACCGGCCCGGCCTCAAAAACCGGACTGGGAGATACTCCATCACAAACGGTTCCATCCCGATATCTCCAAATCTCGAAAACTCCTGTTCGGACGTTTCCCGGCCACCAAATGGGTACGCGTGATCGCCGCGTCGGCCTTGTTGTGGCCGCTTCTGGGATCAACAATCTCCAACGATACTATCCTGTCCATCCTGTAAATCCATGCAAATGCCAGACACGCCGGCAAGGAGCAATACCATGTACGACCTCAACGGAAAAACCGCCTGGTCACCGGCGCCGGCGGACGCCACGGCATCGGTCGCGCCATCGCCACCCGCCTCGCTTCCGAGGGCGCTGACGTCGTGGTAACCGACATCGAGGCTTCCCTGGACGCCATCCGCACCGAGGACCGCCTCGACGGCTGGGAAGGACTGCCCAGCGTGGTCAAGGAGATCCAAGCGATGGGCCGGCGCAGCGCAGGCCTGTATTACGACGTGGCTGACAGCGCGCAGGTCGACGGCATGGTCTCCGATACCCTCGGCGAGTTTGGCAAGATCGATATCCTGGTCAACAACGCCGGCTCGCGCCCCGGCCGCGACCGCGTGCTCGTCGTGGAACTGGAGGAAGACGCTTTCGACGAGGTCATCCGCGTCAACGTCCGCGGCACCTACCTGGTCAGTCGCGCCGTCTGCCGCCACATGGTCGACCGTGGTGGCCCGGGCAAGATCATCAACATCTCCTCCGCGCCGGCAAGCGCGGCATCGCCGCTACGGGGCCTACTGCGCCAGCAAGTTCGCGGTCATCGGCTTCACCCAGTCCCTGGCCCAGGAGATGGCGCCCTACCACGTCAACGTCAACGCCATCTGCCCCGGCCTGGTCGACACGGAACGCGTCGACTTCATCGCCGCTGCCCTGGCTCCCGAAGGCACCTCCGGCGAGGAACACCGCGCTATGATGGTGCGCGAGCGCGAACTGCGCGTGCCTCTGGGCCGCATCGCCCAGGGCGACGACATCGCCCGCATGGCCGCTTTCCTCTCGTCCGCTGAATCCGACTACATGACCGGCCTCAGCATCAGCGTCTCCGGCGGCTCCGAAATGAGCTAGTAGTCGAACATCTTTGAAATGACGGTTAGTCGAGGTTAGCCTGATTGCACAGGAATATTCGGGAATCGCTGCTCTCCCGTCAGCCGGCCAATTACTCAACCATCAATTCAAAGCTGTTGGTTTACTAGCCCGGGACTACCAGGGAGAGGCCACAGCCCAATTCGTGCCCCGCCCACCGCCGATAACCACCACCATTCCTTGCGGCGGCGGGTGTTTGGCCAAGACAGGAGGGCCGTACATGAGCACCTTGAAGGACAAATGCGCTATCGTTGGCGTGGGAGAGACGGTCTACAACCGGGACTCCGGCAGGACCGAGTTGAACATGGCCGTGGAGGCGGCCAACCGCGCCATCGCCGACGCGGGTCTTGTTCCCCAGGATATTGACGGCATCGTGAAGTTTACCGCCGACTCCACACCCCAGGGGGAATTAGCCGCCTGCCTGGGTATTCCCTACCTGCGGTACTACGGCGAATTGGGGCCGCTGGGCGGGGCCGCCTGCGGCCTGGTCATACAGTCGGCAATGGCCGTTGCCCAGGGCGTGGTCAACAACGTGCTGGTGTATCGTTCAGTCAACGGCCGCTCCGGGCAACGCTACGGCTCCGGCACCGTCACCACCCGCCGGGGCCTGGGCAGCTCCGCATTCACCGAGCCTTACGGCCTGTTGGTGCCGGGGCAATCCAGCGCACTGCGGGCGCGTCGCCACATGCACGAGTTCGGCACCAAGATGGAGCATTTTGGCGCGGTGGCGGTGGCCTTCCGAAATAACGCCTGTCTCAATCCCAAGGCCATCATGCACGGGCGGCCCATCACCATGGAGGACTACCTGACCTCCAGAATGTTCTTCGACCCCCTGCACATACTGGACTGCGCGCTGGAGGCCGACGGGGCCAACGCTTTCGTCATCACCTCGGCGGAAAGGGCGGCCAACCTGAAACAGCCGCCGGTGTACATAACCAGCGCTGCCCAAACGCTGCTGGCCGGTATGGGCGGGCACGGGCGTTCCTGGGACGAAAGCGGCGGAGCCCTGCTGGCCCCCGAGTTGTTCGGTGAGGCCGGGGTCACCCCGCAGGACATTGACGTGGTGGGCTTCTACGACCACTTCAGCCCGGTGATTATCACCAAGCTGGAGGACTACGGTTTCTGCCAGCGCGGCGAGGGCGGGCCCTTCGTCGAAGGGGGCAGGATTGAAGTGGGCGGAGAACTGCCGGTCAACACTTCCGGCGGGCATCTATCCGAGGCCTACCTTCAGGGCATGAACCAGATCATCGAAGTGGTGCGTCAGTTGCGGGGACAGTCGCCGGCCCAGGTGGAGGGCGCGGAGTTGGGTCTGGTTGACAGTGGCGACGGCTCGGGCGCCCTGATACTGAGGAGGTGAAGCAACTGTGACTACCGCTAATTTTCCCCTTCCGGTGCCCAACCTGGACAACCAGGAATTCTGGGACCAGTGCCGGCAGCACCGGCTGGTGCTGCGGCGCTGCCTGGACTGCCGTTCCTTCCACCATCCGCCAAGACCCAACTGCCCGGAGTGCGCTTCGTCCAACCTGGAGTGGGTGGAGTCGCCGGGGAAGGGCAAGGTCTACACCTACGTCATAACCCGCCAGCCGGTGAACCCGGCCTTCCGGGAGCGTCTCCCCTGGGGCGTGGTGGAAGTTGAGCTGGAGGAGGGGGTCCACCTTATCAGCAATCTGGTGGACTGTGACGCGGACGACATCGAGATCGGCATGGAAGTGGAGGTAGTCTTTGAGGCGGTCAACGACGAGATAACCCTGCCCAAGTTCAGGAGAGTCGGACAGTAGCCATATCCCCGTAGGGTTGCCCCTGACTTTCTCCCCGTCGCAGTGTCAGTTCGGTGGGAATCAGGCGGCGGTTCTTGGCGTCGGCAGCTAGTGGTCCGAAATCTTTGAAATGATGAGTTGCTGGCTTCGTCCTGGTTCTCCAGCGAAGTCGGTCTAAAGCAAGGCGTGAAGACGGATTCCCATCATTTCAAAGCGGTTGGTCTACTAGGTTCCGTGGCCAAATATCCCACGCTGTCGGCCAGCATGACAGGCGCGGAAAGTCGGGCGACAAGAACACATCCAACTACAGTCCGCGCCCCACCACAGGAGGAACATTTTGGGCACAGTCACCATCACAATCCAGGTAGGCGACCACCACGGCAACCGATTCGAGGAACTCGACATCATCGTCGACACCGGCTCGACCTACACCGCGGTGCCACGCGCGATCCTCGAACGCCTGGGAGTTCCAGTCGAACGTTCACTGCCATCAGAGACCGCCGACGGCAGGATGGTCCCGGTCGATGTAGGCGAAACCACGATCAGACTCGAGGGACTGCAATTCCACACGCCGGTCATATTCGCCGAAGTAAACGAGCCCAGTCTACTTGGCGTGGTCACCCTCGAAGAAGCTGCCCTCGCCATCGACCCAGTGGCGGGCCGCCTGGTGCCCACGCACCTCCTTCGCTACTGACCGCACAAAATGGTACCGGGAGAAGAGGGCCGGCAGGCTATGGGTCCACCCGCGAGACTTTGTCCGCGCGCCTTGGGTCGGCCCTGGTATTCTTTCGCACCTTCGAATGGCGCAGCACTGCTGTCGACGGCTACATCATCCTGTCTGTTATTGGCAGCAACGCCATTACATCTGCATAGTAACATGGAGCAACAGATAGACTATGCCCATTGACCGAGATCAGGTAGAACACATCGCCGCCCTGGCCCGCATCGCCCTCACCGACGCGGAGAAAGAGGCCTTCGCGCGCCAGCTTTCCGACATCCTGGACCAGTTCGAGGTCCTGCAGACCCTGGACACCGCCGGAGTCGAACCCACCGCCCACGTCGCCGGCCTCGACACTGTGCTCCGCGACGACGAGCCCGCCGACAGCCTCGACGCCGAGGACACCCTGCTCAACGCCCCTCGTCGTCGCGGCGACCTGTTCCAGGTCCGCGCCGTGCTGGACGAATGATCCCATGGCCGCACACGCAGCCAGCGAGCTCTGGCAACTGTCCGCCGCCGAGGCCTCCCGCCTCCTCGCCGACCGCGAAATCAGCAGTGTCGAGCTCACCGACGCCTGCCTGGAGCGCATCGCGGCGGTGGACGACCGAATTTCCGCCTACATCACCGTCACCGCCGACCTTGCGCGCCAGCAGGCAACCGACGCCGACCGTCGCATCGCCGCTGGCGACGCATCTCCCCTCACCGGCGTCCCCATGCAGATCAAGGACCTGCTCTGCACCAACGGGATCGCCACCACCTGCGCATCGCGGATGCTGGCGGAATACATCCCGGTGTATGACGCAACCGCCGTGGCCCGGCTCCGGGAGCACGGCGCCGTCCTGCTGGGCAAGGGCAACATGGACGAGTTCGGCATGGGGTCCTCCACCGAGAACTCCGCCTTCTTCCCCACGCGCAATCCCTGGGACACGGGACGCGTGCCCGGCGGCAGCAGCGGCGGCTCGGCGGCGGCGGTGTCGGCCGGTGCGGCGCCATTCGCCCTCGGCACCGACACCGGAGGCAGCATCCGCCAGCCGGCGTCGTTTTGCGGCGTCACCGGCCTGAAACCCACCTACGGCCGCGTCAGCCGCTACGGACTGGTGGCGTACGCATCATCGCTGGACCAGGTCGGCCCCATCGCCCGCGATGCCGCCGACTGCGCCCTGATCCTGCAGTCCATCGCCGGCCACGACTCCCGCGACGCCACGTCGCTGCCTGATGCGGTGCCCGACTACTCCGCCGCGCTCACCGGCGACATCTCCGGCCTGCGCCTGGGCGTACCCAGCGAATATTTCGCCGAAGGCATGGACGCCGGTGTCCGCGCCGCCGTGACCGCTGCCATCGACCAACTGGCCGCCCTGGGCGCGGAGATCCGCGAGGTCTCGCTGCCCACCACCCAGTACGCCCTCGCCTGCTACTACATCATCGCCCCGTCCGAATGCTCGGCCAACCTGGCCCGCTACGACGGCGTGAAGTACGGCTACTCCCACCAGGGCGACGGCGATATGTGGGAAGCCATGGAGCGCACCCGCCAGCACGGCTTCGGGCCCGAGGTCAAGCGGCGCATCATGCTGGGCGCCTTCGCCCTGTCTTCCGGCTACTACGACGCCTATTATCACAAGGCCCAGCAGGTGCGCACGCTGATCCGGCAGGACTTCGCCCACGTCTTCGAGGAGGTCGATGCCCTGGCCGCTCCGGTGTCACCGGTGGTTGCCTTCCCCATCGGCGAACGGACCGACGACCCGGTGCGCATGTACCTGGTCGACGTCTACACCCTCCCCGTGAACATGGCCGGCCTCCCTGCCATGTCCGTCCCCTGCGGATTCAGCAACGGCCTGCCAGTGGGTCTGCAATTGATCGGCCCGCACCTGTCCGAAGACCGCCTCCTCAACATCGCGCACACCTACCAGCAGGCAACGGAGTGGCACCGGGAGCGGCCGGGGATTTAGCGGCGGCCGTATGCTCGCTAGTAGAGCTCCGGGCCCGACCAGACGGGTAGATCCGAACCGGAGGCATCAGAGACGTAAGATTCTGCAATAGGGGTAAGTAGGGGTTTGATTGAACGAGGCTGGGACGCTAATTGCGACATAATCGCGACATAATCGCGACATAATCGCGACACAATTGCAACTCAGACGAGTTGCCATCGGGTAGCTCGACCTTGACCGGAATTCGTGACCAAATTCAGCTCCTTTAGCGTCGCCAGGTCCCGTTGGACTTGTCGCCGGTCAATATCGTCCTCAAGGCGGGGGAGGATTTCTCGTAATGCTAATCCGGTGCCGGATGCGTTCAGCACGGCGAGTATGGTTCTCTGCCGCTCGGTCAGATCATGGCCTACTCGGTGGGGTGGAACATATCTACTAGGCTGGAATCGAACGGTGACGGAATTGACGTTGTCCTCAATCTCAGGACGGGGCAGACCGGCTTCAGCGGTCAGTTCCGCCATTCTGATCGTCCCACGCCCCCATTGTTCGATAATGCCGCGTCGGTAGAACACGTTGGCAATCAGAGGATTCCAGGGCTGTGGCTCGTGAGGACGGAATAGCATCTCCGGCGTCAAACCAAAGTGCAGTGGCCCAGTCGAGGTGATTTCCAAACGGTCGTCGTAGATGCCGACTGATACAGAGCCTCCTCCGCTCGTGTAATCGCGGTGGCAAAAGGCGTTGGCTAAAGCTTCACGCAGTGCCAATGGCGGGTACAAAGGCTCGTCCTCACGCACGAAAGAAGATTGCACGATGCGCCCCGCGATGGGCAGATGCTCCTGCATAAATCGTTCCGCCTGGGTTAGCAGCGTAAAGACGTTGCCACGGAATTGCCGATTGTCCAGAAACTCGGTACGGGTTACACCCTGAAACCGGGCAACTCGCAACAGACATTGCGTCCACGCTGCTGCGATACGTTCATCATTTCCGAAAAGTGCGATTGCGGCTCGCAATAATTCCCCATCTTTAATCAAACCCATGCCCTGCAGTAATTCGCTGGGTTCGGTGGTACCTGGGTCGATCAGCCTGCCTGTCCTAACCGCTTCTGCAACTGTGCGCCGTATCTCTCCGGCATCAAGATGGTCCATTGACCAGCCGGTTGCCGCTTCATTTTCCCACCGCCTCTCGCTGTGCATCCGCTCGAGGAGCGTCTGGTTATATTCCTCACGTGTCATACGCTGGGTGGTATTCCCTACTTTCTTGTAGGCGGTGTTTTTATGCGTATAAGGTCGCATCGCTCCCCGGCCGACTTGTACCATCAGCACGGTTTTACCATTCACCACGGGAACGCGGTCTATGGTGGGGAAAACGGGCGGGTCAATATTTTGCAACTCCGCCGCCACACGCTCAATCGTGCCGTCGCCCACATCCTGGCCGACGACGGTTCCATCCTTGGCAACACCAATCAGGACGACGCCCCCGCGATGATTCAGCATGGCGCAGGTAGTTTTGGCGACCTCGACCCGTTCGCCGGTGGTCTTTTTGAACTCCAGCGTTTCGGATTCTCCCTGTGTGACGAGGTTGTCAATTTCAGCGGGTATCATCAGGGCCTACGCTCCTTCGCTCGCCTACGGTCATTATACTTACCGGCGCCCAACGCAAGACTAACGCCGCCCCTATGCTAAAATCCACCCCACAGTCAGCTCTCCCCCGGAGGCCCGCAATGCCTGCCCAACGGACCCGCATCAAAGACCTCCTCTCTGCCGAGAATTCCGGCGACGTCACTGGCCCGGTCAACGTGAAGGGCTGGGTGAAGACCGTCCGTTCCTCCGGCGGTGTGGCCTTCGTGCAGATCAACGATGGCTCCACCCTGGCCGACCTGCAAGTTGTGGTCGGCGCAGACTGCCCCGACTACTCGCTGGTGAACGGCCTGACCACGGGGTGCAGCGTCAGCGCCGACGGCGTCCTGCAGGATTCGCTGGGCCGGGGCCAGAAGTTCGAGATCGTCGCGGCGAGCCTGGAGCTCATCGGCGGAGCGGACCCCGAGGAATACCCCCTTCAGAAGAAGCGGCACACCCTGGAGTTCCTGCGAGAGTTGGCCCACCTGCGCCCGCGCACCAACACCTTCGGCGCCGTCGCCCGCGTGCGTAACGCCATGGCCTTTGGCATTCATAAATTCTTCCAGGAGCGGGGCTTCCTCTATATCCAGACCCCCATCATCACCGCCAGCGACGCCGAGGGGGCCGGCGCCATGTTCCGCGCCACCACGTTGGACCTCAACAACCTGCCCCTGGCCGAGGGCCTGGTGGACAACGACGCCGATTTCTTCGGGCGGCCGGCTTTCCTCACCGTCAGCGGCCAACTGGAGGCGGAGATATTCGCGCAGGCCATGTCGGACGTGTACACCTTCGGCCCGACCTTCCGCGCCGAAAACTCCAACACGTCGCGTCACCTGGCCGAGTTCTGGATGGTCGAGCCCGAAGTCGCCTTCTGTGACCTCGACGGGTTGGCGCAGTTGGCTGAGGATTTCCTGCGCAACCTCTTCTCCCACGTGCTGGAAACCTGCCCCGAGGACCTGGCCTTCTTCAACCGTTTCTACGACAAGGAACTCGTCCAGACCCTTGAGGACATCGCCAACTCCGACTTCGAGCGCATGACCTATACCGAGGCCGTCGCCGCCCTTCAGGCCTCCGGCGAATCCTTCGAGTACCCGGTAGAGTGGGGCGCTGACCTCCAATCCGAGCACGAGCGGTACCTTACCGAGCGCAAGGTGGGCCGACCCGTCATCGTCACCGACTACCCCAGCAGCATCAAGGCTTTCTACATGCGCCTCAATGATGACGGCGAGACCGTGCGGGCCCTGGACGTGCTGGTGCCCCGCATCGGCGAGATCATCGGCGGCAGCCAGCGCGAGGAACGGCTGGACGTGCTGCAGCGTCGTATGGCCGAGGCTGGCCTGGACGACGCCCCCTACTGGTGGTACCTGGACCTGCGCCGCTACGGCACCGCGCCCCACGCCGGCTTCGGGCTGGGCTTCGAGCGCACCGTGCAGTTTGCCACCGGCATGCAGAACATCCGCGACATCATCGCCTTCCCCCGCACGCCGCGCAACGCCGAATTCTGATCCCCGTCGCTACCGTGACGTGGCGTCGCCGGGTTGGTGATCGCCGACCGGTTAACGGGACCGGCATTGCCGGCGCTGGTTTGCCCATCGCGCCCTGCGATCGCTGAAGTGCGCCGTCGCGACGACATCGCGCGCCGCGCGACTGACGCGGATTGCTGCCGTCAGGATGGCGATACGGCTCGGGGCGCAGCCGCGCGGACGATGCCAGCGTCCCAATTCACGGTGAAACCCCCGATGTTTACCGCCATGCATTATCAATGATAACGATAATTGACATTGCAAATTGCCGATGGTAGTGTCTGGCGGGAAACTCAAGGCCGTCGCTGTCGAACAGGCCTTTTGCAATAGAATGGCAGGAGGTAACCCTATGGCAATTTATCGTCAGGCTCGCGTGCCACGCATCGTTGTCGCCCTTGTGCTGCTGTTATCCTTGGCGGCCGTCTGGGCCTGCGGCGGCTCCGCTCCCGAGGAAACGCAAACTGCGGCCCCAGCAGCGCCGACTGATGTGCCGGCGGCCGCCGCCACCACCTCGGCGCCCGAGCCCACCGCCATGCCGGCGATGGCCGACGAAGATAACTATCTGCATCTGGCCGTGACCCCGCTGCCCCAGGACACCTTCTTCCCCTGGCTGGCCACCAGCAGCGGACACCTTCCCTTCCGGCCCATGTGGGAGAACCTGACCACCATCTCCCCGGAAACCGGTGTCTCCGTCATCCTGCCCCAGCTTGCCCGGGCGTGGGATGTCAACGCCGACGCCAGCGAGTACACCTTCTACCTCCAGGAGGGTGTCCAACTGCACCACGGCTGGGGTGAGTTCACCGTCAAGGACGTGATCTTCACCATTGACCAGCAGATGTCTGACCCCCTGGCAGGCTGCAAGTCGCCGCTCAAGAAGTTCATGGGGTACGACTCCATGACCGAGATGGTCGACGCCGGTAAAGCGGAGATCATCGATGACTACACCTTCAAGATGACGTTGGCCCAGCCGCAGGTGGACGTGGCGGACTGGTGGTTCAACATCCTGGTGGTCCCCTGCGCCGCCGTCCGCAGTTCCGCTCAGCACGCCGCTGAGGGCGACGCCATGTTTGAAAGCGGCCCGGCGGGCACCGGCGGTTACCAGTTCGTCAATCGCGAGCTCAAGGAGTACACCGAGTACGAAGCGGTGCCCTACGACCACTGGCGGGTGAACCCGGAGTTCAAGCGCCTGCGCATTAGCACGACCCCAGAAGACCTGACCCGTCTGGCCTTGCTGTTGACCGGCGAAGCCAACATGGTGGACGTGCCCAAGGTCCTGCACCAGCAGGCGATCGACGAGGGGATGGAGGTGTTCGAAAGCCCACTGCCGTCGGTGGGCCTCTCCATTTTCCCTCTGGGCCAATACTACGTGAGTGAGGTGAATTGGAACCCCGACACCGAGCCTTGGACCGCTCCCGGCGAGACCGGCAACAAGGTCCGCGAAGCGATGAACCGGGCCATCAACCGGGAGCAGATCATCAACGAACTGTTCAAGGGCCGCGGGGAGCCGATGTACAACACCATCTTCCACGACACCCTGGAGGGTTGGAACCCGCGCTGGGCCGACGAGTTCGATGAGAAGTACGGCTACGATCCGGAACGTGCCAAGCAGTTGTTGGACGAGGCCGGCTTCCCGGGTGACAACGGACAGAATCGCTTCTTCATGGAAGTGTACCAGACCAGTCTGCCCGGCCTGCCGGAGACCATCGAGGTTGCCCAGACCGTCGCTCAGTCCTTCCAAGACATCGGCATTGACGCCAAGCTGGTGGAGGTGGAGTTCGCCCGTGCGCTGGACGCTTTCCGCGACCGCCACGACGCCCACTTCGCTCTGCCTGCGCGCCAGACCATCCGCCAGATCAACGCCAACACCCGCATCTATTACTACACCGGCCCCACCAACCCCGACACCGGCCTGCCCAACGGCGGCGTCCTATACATGGAAAGTCCCCTCTACGACGAGATCTACGAGCGTCTCTTGGTGGAAACTGACCAGGCCGAGCGTAACCGGCTGATCATGGCCATGGGCGATGACATCTACGATACCTACCGCACCATCCCCATCGTCAACGTCCGGTCCACCCTCGTGGCGAATCCCGACGAGGTGCTCGAGTACAAGTTCGGCAGCCTCACCGGCGTCTTCGGCCACCTGGAGTACGCCAAAGCCGTGAAGTAGCCGCAAGGCGACATTCGCCGATCTGTTCGGGACGGAATGCGTAATTTCGTCCCTTTTTTATTGTGTAATAAATCACAAAAGCGTTTATAATAATCATTATTGACAATGAAAAGGCTAACTGGTAACGTTTTCAGTAACGAAGGCGCAAGCGCGGTGCGCGATTAGGCGACTAAAACGACGGAGGTATGACGATGTCCGTTCATCGAATAGCTAAACCGTTTCGCACGATTTCACTGCTTCTGTTGTTACTGGCCCTGCTTGCGGTGTGGGCGTGTGGTCAATCGGCCGCCCCTCCGGAGGAAAGCGCCGCCCCGGCCTCTGCCACCGAAGCCCCTGCCAGCGTGGAACCCACCGCGGTTCCCGTAGCCACCGAAGTGCCGGCCATGGCCGAAAGCGAGACCATGCTCCATTTGGCCGTGACCCCGCTGCCCCAGGACACCTTCTATCCTTGGCTCGCCACCAGCAGCGGCCACCTGGTCTTCCGCCCCATGTGGGAGAATCTGACCACCATCGACCCCAAAACCGGCGTCTCGGAAGTCTATCCTCAACTGGCCCGCGAATGGGAGGTTAGCCCTGACGCCAGCGAGTACACCTTCCGCTTGCAGGAGGGAGTGCAGTTCCACTTCGGCCACGGCGAGTTCACCGTGAAAGACGTGATATTCACCGCCGACCAGCAGATGTCCGACCCCCTGGCCGGCTGCAAGGCGCATCTCAGCAGGTTCATGGGGCGCCGATTCCATGACCGAGATGATTGAAAACGGCGACATGGAGGTCATCGACGACTATACGTTCAAAATGAAACTGGCCCAGCCGCAGGTGGACGTGGCGTCCTGGTACTTCAGCATCCTGCAGATCGGCTGCATGGCCGTCCGCAGCTCGGCTCATCACGCCGCCGAGGGCGACGCCATGTTCGAGAGCGGCCCCGCCGGCACCGGGGCCTACCAGTTCGTGGAACGCAAGCTCAAGGAGTACGCCGAGTTCGAGGCCGTGCCTTACGACCACTGGCGCGTTAACCCCGAGTTCAAGCAGCTGCGTATCAGCACCACGCCGGAAGACCTGACCCGCTTGGCTATGCTGCTCACCGGCGAGGCCAATATGGTGGACGTGCCCAAGGTGCTGCACCAGCAGGCCATCGACGAGGGCATGGAAATAATTGAAAGCCCGCTGCCCACCGTTGGCCTCTCCATCGTTCCCTTTGGCCAGTATTACGTCACCCAGGTGAACTGGAACCCCGACACCGAACCCTGGACCGCGCCGGGCGAAACCGGCGTACTGGTTCGCCAGGCCATGAACCGTGCAATCGACCGGGACCAGATCATCAATGAACTGTTCAAGGGGCGCGGCGAGCCCATGTACAACACCATCTTCCACCCGACCCTGGAGGGTTGGAATACCCGGTGGGAGGATGAGTTCGACGAAAAGTACGGCTACGATCCCGAACTGGCGAAGCAACTGCTGGACCAGGCAGGCTTCCCCGGCGACAACGGCCAGAACCGTTTCAGCCTGGAGGTCTGGCAGAGCAGCCTGCCCGGATTGCCCGAAACCATCGAGGTTTCCCAGACGATGGCCCAGTCCTTTGAGGACATCGGCATCAACGTAAAGCTGGTGGAAGTGGAATTCGCCCGCGCCCTCGACGCGTTCCGCGACCGGCACGACGCCCACTTCATCCTGCCCTTGCGCGTGACCCTCCGCCCCATCAACGCCAACACCCGCATCTACTACTACGCCGGCGGAGGCCGATTCAGCGAAACATCGGGCCTGCCCACGGGAGGCACTGCCTATTTGGAACACCAGTTATATGACGACACCTATGACCGGCTCCTGCAGGAGACCGACCCCGAGGAGCGCGAGCGGCTGGCACGGGTGATGGGCGACCACACCTACGACAACTACCGCAGTATCCCCCATCGTCAACGTCCGCTCCACCTTGGTAATTGACCCTGATGAGGTGTCCGAGTACATTTTCGGCAGTATCACCGGCGTCTTCGGCCACCTGGAGTATGCCAAGACGGCAAAATAAGGTGATTTAGCTGTCGGAGTGGATTGCCACGCTGTCCCTCCGATGAACTATCGGCCGGCCGTGATGGGGCTCACCCGTACCCGCTTGTGTTCAAACTGTCATTGCGAGCGAAGCGCGGCAACCTCGTTGGCTGAGGAGTCACCGTTCGGGCGCTGGGATTGCCGTGCTGCATCGATCCGCGCTATGACAAAGTGTTCAAACTGTCATTGCGAGCGAAGCGCGGCAATCTCGTTGGGTGAATAGTCCCGTTCGGGCGCTGGAATTGCCGTGTTGCGTCGCTCCGCGCAATGACAAACTGGGTACGCGTGAGGTGATGGGGCTGTACCGGTTGGACGGCAGTCGATGTTATACTGACCCGGCCGGGAGGAGGGCTCCGACCGGGCCAGTTGCCCGGAATTGGGCGAGAGACGAGGCGCTACCGCCGCTAAGGCAGCGCCCCGGCCTTGTGCAGAAGGGCTGGGGTGCCGGCCAGGACGACTTGGCCGGCCAGCGTGATGTCGGGCTGGCGAATTGTTTCCAGCGGGGTCAGCAAGAGGGACGGGCGAGCGCCTTCATCCAGCAGGGTGGCGGTCAGGGCGCTGGTGCCGCCGTATTTGACCTGAACGTCAATTCCGGTCGAGCCCTTGAACTGCTGGATAATCGGATCTACCAGCGACTCGCTGAGGCTGGAATAGGTGACAAACTCACCCGGATCGTCGGCCCCTGATGAATCTCTGACGATGCGGGTCACCGGCACCACCCGAGTAACCTCCGGCCCAGGCTGTTCCACGATACGTGTTACTTCCACTGGACTGGCGACGGTTGGGCGACCGGCGTGCCTCCGCACGCGATGAGCGCCGGAAGTAGGCCCGCAGCCGCGATGATCGGAAGTCAAAGACTGATCCGCCCGGGGCGATTTGGCAGGTCTCGCATGGTGGGTTCCTCCAGGGAGATGTTGTGCGATCAGTGGAACTCGTACGGGTCGTCAGAGAATTCAGAGCCAGTTCCC